CATCTCAGTCGATTGAGAGCACTCTCGAGAAGAGGTATCCTATGAAACCTCTTTAATTATACGTTAACAAGATCCAAGCTACTCAATCCCACTAAATATAACCAAAAGCTCACAATATGTTGATGGCTACAGTGGAACTAGGGAAGAGGTTTTTCCCGCGATGCTCGGATGTACTGAACAAGATCATGGATGACGATGATAATCTGACGCAGCTGGCGTGTTTAGGAAATGGGACGCCAGAGGAGAAGCAGAGGAAGAGGAAGAGGTACGTGGAGCTGCAGCAGTTGCTTAGCAAGGCTTTCAGTGCTGATAAGGAAGAGTTCGATAGGTCTGCTATTTCTTCTTCGTCTTCCTCCAAATCTGTTGGTGGTGGTGGTGGTGGTGGAATGGCGTCCAAGAGGATTGCTACTGGTAAGCTTACTAGTAGCAGAAGAAGCTAATCTTCTTTTTCCGACTGGGGAGTGCTCAAAGAGTACTGTAAACATGGTTTCGATGTTGATACCTAAGAGTTCTCTCTCTGTGTATTTTTACCTATTGCGTTTGTCTTTGTAAATTGATCCTCAACACTTTTTGACTGGTGGTAGTGAGAGATAAATAAAGGGTTAATACTTGATACTAATAGGATCTGATGCTTCTCTTATCCGCAAGAGAAAATATATAGTACAGTGGCCGGATCAGTAGAACAATCAAATCAATTACAATAATGTTCGGTCCATTTGCTTGGATGATACAGGATAAGTATAATGATTTTTCACGGTTGTACATGGAACATAATGAATCATCCTAATTTTGATTGATCAACTATATTAACCAAAAGATGTTCAGGAAAAAAAATACTACAACACCTCCTAAAATGTATGAGAAACAAAATTGCAAGAAACTAAAGAGAGAATGTCGTATACACCACGCACTTACATTTTTTGAACAATCAATCAATCTTTCCTCCCCCAACTTCCGCCGCCATGACGTAGATCTGGAAGAAAGGCGAGAGAAAGATCGGCGCCGACGCCGAGGTTGCTATGCGGCGTGGCACTACGTATAGTTTGGTGAGGAAGAAGGAGGATGTGGAAACGTTTTGTGAAGGAAGAAGGGGAGATCAACATCGAGTATCATCTCCCGTCCCATCCTTTGCTCTGGCGACCAACAAAGGGAGATCCGACGCCTACCACGAACGAGGACAGCGATGAGGACGACGGCGCTAGGAGGAGGGCTGGATGACGACGGGAGACGACGAAGTCGCCCTTGGCGTTGGCGGTTACAATTCCGGACGTGGCGGTTACGTTGGATAAGTGCTCTCTCCTTTTTTATTATTACTATTATTTATTTAATTTCTTATATAATTATCCTCGATAATCCCGTGTAACGCACTCACGATGATTTCCGATAGAAGGGTCGAGTTCGACGGATTTTGATTTTTACTTTTCTCCGCAACTGTGCGCTCCAACAAGTTGCTGCCCAACGCCCTTGTGCGTAGCCGCTCGTGGTGTTTCCCCATCTTTGACACCCTTTCCGGTGAGTTTTGCCTATTTTTTGCAGGAGTTGTGGGCTGGGATCTTCGGTGAGTCTTTCCGGCGGATGACGAGCCTTGCCGACAATCGGCCAGGCTAGTGGGCTGCAGTTACATCTTTGTACAGTTACCTCTCCCGTGGCTTCATTCTTGTTCAAAACGCTCCGGCCTTCGGACGGTTATAATTTCATGGCGGTTAAAATTCTAATGGATAGGCAGTCACAATTTCAAACACGGATCCTATCCTGCATTCAGATAAGTCTATTAATTCTTTCTTAAATTTATATTTAATTATTATTATGTTTACGATTGTGTTTGGTATTTTTGATGGGAGTTGCAATTGTTTTGTAATTCGGTGTCTTTTAATGATAGTGAGGATTTGGTTGTCGTCGGACATGGAGTATATTTCTTCTACTAGTTGGCTTTGTCATATTTGTTTTTGTGTTGCAGAAGGCATAGTCTGTATAGCTTGTGTAGCATTTTCGGTGGAAGTCCGATTGTATTTTAATTTTGTTTGTCCTGTTAGGGGTTGTCTGCGTGTTATTTTGCAGGTACCTTGCACATCAAATCTACTGCTAGGCTATTGGAACTCGACGAATTGGTGCTTGAAGGAGTTTGCTAAAAGAAGACTTTCTTTGCGTTTTTTTGGTTTTTTTATGTTACTAGGCATACTAACAGGGCTGCCCATCGCGTGGCATAAATGGCCCTTGCATCGGTAGCAACCTAGTTGGTTGACTACCGCCTTTATATTTTCTCTCCATTGTAAGACTCTATCTATTACAAACTATCTATGACAAAAAAAAAAAAAAAATACTACAACATGAACTAAGATCATCTAAAACGACTAACTTTTTTTTTAAGAAATAAGTTAACTAAATTTATTTGGCAAAATACATATGCATAGCTATAACTTTGCACTTTGTGACAATAATAGCCACTTTTTAAAAAATGCACTGAAATAGCCATTCCGTCAATAACTTTAACGGTCAAGGTGGAGGATGTTGACTAGACAAACATTTTTCGCTGACATGTCGACTTTTTTCATAAAAAAAGATGCCACATGGAAATTTTAATTTTTAATATTCCAATTACATGGAAAAGGAAAAGGAAAATAAAATAAACAAAAAGATCATCCTCCTCCCTCGTCCCTACTACAATGCATCAATGGAGGCAAATCCATCGGCCTCCCAAACAACCACCACCGTGAAATGGCCGCCGATTTTCCAACAACCAACAAACTCATCTCCTTCCTCTATTCCATTAGCGCAAGGAAAATATCCCCATTAATATTCCAACAATGAGATCCATTCTCGGCACTTCCTTCCTCAATATCAAAGAACCAAAAAATTGAACTGCCCGGCGACCCAGAGCTTTCTCACCCTAGCGACGTCGAAATCAGCGTTCACCTTTTCGATTCCCTCTCCGCAGCGGTGCGAGACGCATAGACATCATTGGTTCTCTGGGAGGTCTCGCTGCTTGAATCGCATCCCGATCGAGATCCTGACAGGTCGCCGGGATCTGACTAGCTGATAGTCGCAACACCAAAACCATTCGTGGAGAGCCTATGGTTGCTGGAATCTGGCGGTCCTTGTCTCCTGTGCTAACAGCGGCTCTGTTTTGGTAAAATCCAAGAATCCATCCCCATCCTACTCCAGCTCTGACCCAACCGTCGGAGAGACGCATTGAGATTTGCGGTCTTGCCCAGCGCCACCCACACACCCTTTCTCTTCTTCGAATCTCGGGTGGGTATATGGGTTGTTGTTTTTATGGTTTGGGAATATTTCCACGGCGGCGGCGGCGTAACCGAGACTCTCACCCAGCACCGAGACAAATCTCCTCTGTATCATTATCGATAAGTTGCCTTTGAATCTTATGGGAGAATGGATCTCTTGTGGTGGAACTAGCGCTAGATTTGAAACTGATTATATTCAGCCATCTTTAGCCGCTGTCGCGGGGCGTGTGGTGTGAGGTGGAGAGGGGAAGGAGATGATGAGATGGAGAAATGATGAGGTTTCAAAGTCGGAATCCGATTTAGGAACCGCTATCGGAGTTGGAGGAGATGGAGACAAAGCCTCGTCGGAGTGAACTATATTGGCAGTGAGGCGGCGCAATGCAGGGGGAAGAAATCCCCAATTCAGGGCCTAGGGTTTCTAGGTACAGGAGGATAAAAATAATTGTTTTTTAATTTATAATATGATGTGGCGATTATGTGGCATGCCAAGATTAGGTGGACATGACGTGTAGTCCAGGTGGCAACCACTAGGGGTGGAAATCGGTACGGTATCGGTATCCCAATACCGAATACCGAAATCCCGAATACCGAATTACCCCCTAAAATCAATTCCAATTCCAATCCCTAAATAATTTCGGTATCCCAATCCCTAAATATTTTGGTATCCCAATCAGTATCTCGGTATCCCAATCGGTATTATCGAATACAAAATTAATTATCTTTGCAATGAACAATTAAATATATAAATTCGATTTGATTGTTCAATTTAGGGCAAAAAAACTAAGCAAAGAGTCTTGAGTTTTTCTAGAGTTAGGACATGGATAGGGAGAAGGGAGGAGAGGTGACAACTCAAGTTCTTGTCATTGGCAATCTTTAATTCGACGAATTGGAGGTTGAGAGACGACTAATACTAGGGTTTTCTTTTTGATGTTATGAAAATAACAAGAGATTAGATGAGAGACGAGAGTGACTTAAACTGGAAAGCCATAATTGAGTTGGATGGGGACTTGTGAGTTATGAAAGAGTGGGGAATGATCAAAAGTTGTGTGCTATATTTCATTAATTTTTATTTTTTGGTTGTTTCTCGGTATTTCGGTATATTTCGGTATATACCGATCCCAATCCCATAATCCCGAATACCGAATAGCACTCCAAAATGAATCCCAATCCCTAAAAAATAAATCGGTATTCGGTAATACCAAATAGTGATAAGTTCGGTACGGTATTCGGTATATCCCAAATACCGGTACCAAACTTCCAGCCCTAGCAACCACATCAGCATAATATTCATTTAATTAACGGAGATATTGACGGTGTTAAAGTATTGGACGGAAATGGCTAAACTAGTCAAACAAGTTTAAAAAGTGTGGCTATATTAGTGTATTTTCAAAAAGTGGCTATTATTGTCAAAAAGTCGATAGTTATGGCTATGTAGGTGTATTTTGCCAATTTATTTCTACTTTCTCTTTGGATTCATATATGCCATCTAGTATCGACCGCCACAATAATTACTAATTTTATAAAAGAAAATATGATCTCTTTTTGGAGATAGTCTAAATGTTCAAATTTTGATGATAGATGATATGAATTTGGAATATTTTCTTTATCCTTGTCAAACATTTTTTCCGGTAATTTATCATTCACAAATTGAGTCCTAAATAGTGTCATATTTGTCTTTGATTTTGTACTGTATGAATGGTTCTAGAAATGACTAACCAATGGTTTTATAATGGTTAACCATGAGATCATAAACTACTAATTTTTCAGCTCAACATCTGAATCCGGTTATGAAATCCTGGAGATTGTTTGCTTGTAGGAATTCAGGATCTCAACTATAATTATAAGAATTAAAGTGTTCAATATGAGAATCAAAGCGATGCTGAATTATATTAACTTGGACTCGGCTCTATCTGACCATGACTCAAAACATTTTGTTACATTGTTACAAGATGACAGTTGAGACACACAAAAAAAAATTCCTCTTGAATTTTGCTTTCTGGGTAATTTGAGCTTTGATTGGTGTCTGCCTCCATGATTTAAGCAATTTAAATTCTGGCTTCCTCGTCTGTCAACATCGAGGCTGCCTGATCCCTCTGTACAAGTTCTTCCTCGGCCTCTTGGTGCCCGTGGCTGATTTGTTACCCGATCGCCCACCACCTGCTCGACCAATTGCCCAAGTCGGAAACAAGAACGACACTTCTTGCCTTGGTGGAAGAGGAAGAAGAAGAAGAAGAAGAAGAAGAAAGCGATACCTGAAGAGGGTTGGGATGTTTTGGACGGGAAGGGCTCATAAGGGCTGATCTTGCTGATGGAAATCTTGGGCTTGGGCCAGATGTCAGCGGCAGTGATGCTGCGGTTGCTGGGAATGAAGTCGCCGATAATCGCGCCGCCCATCTTCTTTGCTGGAGCGGAGAGAAAAAGGGGAAATGAGAAGAAGCTTTGGGTTTGGGCAGTGGTTCGAGAAAATGGAGGCTATATGCAGTGATATAGTCGCATTTCCGAGTTAAAATATGAATAAAGCTTAATAGTATTGAATACATTTTCTCAAAATAGTTATTTACCGAATTATTGACAATTCAAGTGTGTAACTTCTTTATGCCTTCCTTTTTCTAATGAATGAAAAATAAGCAAGTTATACAAAAAAGTTGCATAATTAAATTAAATTCAGGTTATAAAATTAAGAAAATTTTATTATTTATTTATTTATTTATTTTATTGCCTTACCATGCTGCGTGGTCCTAAATTCTTATCAGATCTGTATTTACCAAGCTTACTTAGTACACATACATTTTTATTTTACCAATTGAGGCTCCACCTCCATCCGACAATGAGGAGAGGGATGCCAAACCAAACAAACCATGTTAAGTACAAAAAAAAGGTTGATTTGGTCCACTACACACGCAAAAATTGAACCAATAATCAAGAAAAAAAAATCATTTTTAAGCTTTAAAATCTGAAATTCCTATGCGCACGCATAATTTCTTGACCAAACAAACCTCATTGAACAAAAAATGAACGGTTTGTTTGGTCCACCGCACCAAAAATATAGGAAAACTATTTTTGCCTTAATGCCTATATTTCAATACGATGCATAATTTTGATACTCTAAATCCAAATAAATAATGAAAACACAAAACCAAATCAACCCAACTTCCACAATAACATCATAAATATAGAATATAATGCATATGGAGACGCAACCATCTCTACCTTTGGCGACGAGATGTGGTTTCTAAATGAAAGAGGAGACGAGATTCACAAAATTGAAGTTGAGATTAGAATCTCGTTAGAGTGAAGAGATTGATTGAGTGGAACAAATCTACTATCTGCTGCATCAGAGCATACCAACAAACCAAAACATAAAATAATACAAATTATTTACCAAACCATTTTAAAATTCTACATTACATTTCGGTTTGATCCACAATTTGGCAAACAATCAGACCTACTTTCTCGTGCACTACGCGCTTATTATGCACACAAACTTGGGGCGAAGTTGCAATTTGGCGCCCCAGGTTTCTTCCTCTCTGGTCTCTACTTCCCTTTCTATACTCCAAAAATGCTTTTCCGCCGCCACTGGCACCCTACCGCCAGTGGTTTTTGAATGGGCCTCTAGCCCAGTACTTGCTTGGCACGTTCCTAAATCATAATCCTATCCACTTTTTCGAATCAATTAACAAGGCATGGTTAAATAAGTCTAATATTAGTCACATTTAACAATAAATCTCATAGATATTTTTGTCAAATCCAAAAAGCTTAACCAATTATTGGCCAATAACCAGAAGAGAAGACGGTATCAACGATTAATTATTATACTGTGAATTGGATTAGAGAGCAAGGATATTTGGTCCCACAATCATTAGCCTAATGGGAATGGTGGGTAAACTTATGAAATATGATTACACTTTATTGTGGATATTAAGGTTGGTAGAAAAATATTGGCACATCAACAACCACTTGAAAGGTACAATTTTAAGACATCAAATCGCATAAAGTTTAATCAAATGTCACTTGAAAGTTATGATATTACATCAAATTCCATAAAGTTCAAATACAGTCATATTCAATCCCGAACTTTTTCCCTTCTTCTTCTTCTTCTTGTAATACGTTACCAAAAGAAATTTGCAAGGAAATCCATACTTGAAATTGAACGATCATTCAAACTTACAATTTTTTTTTTTTTTGGGATAAAAACACGGAAAATGGAAACGTGCGGGGTTTCTGAAATTTATACAGAACGAATCAAATTGGGAACGCAACAAAACGAAATCAAATTCCAAACTAGCAGGCTGCCACCGTGAAAGGTTAAACGGCAGCCGCGACAGCAGGGACGACGTCCTCGTCGTCGTTGAAGTTCCAGAGATCTCCGACGACGCTCTCCTCGGCTGCACTCTGAGTCGCCGACTGCCCATCGAGATACGGGATCTGATAGAACTTCATATAGTTTTCGTACGCCATCAGCTCCTCCGACAGCTTCTGTACCTCCGTCGGCTCCTCCTCCTCCACCACCACCGGCGTCACTTTCTTGTTCTCCGACGTTAATTTCTCAGGTTCTTCTTCCTTGACGGCTTCCAATAGACAATTACTGCTGCCGTGACCGCGATTGTAATCATTCACGTTTCGGTTCAAGTCGTCCGAAGCCGACCCGGAATAATTGTCCTCCTCGTCGGAAGCATTGGAAAGATAGGCCTCGATCTGGTTGAGGTCGTAGCGGAACCCGGAATTATTAGCACGGGGGATGCTAACAATTGCATCGATCGGCAGATTTCCCGAGTAACAACAGTCGGCGGCATCTTCGTTGGGGAAATTGACCTTCGCCTTCTTCCCGCGGATTTTGACGGCTTCTCTGTCGTAGGCACGAGCCGCTTCCTCGGCGGTGTTGAAGGTGCCGAGCCAGACACGAACCCCTTTCCTCGGGTCGCGAATCTCGGCCGCCCATTTCCCCCATGGACGCTGCCGGATCCCTCTGTACAGGTTCTTCCTCTGCCTCTTTACGCCCGTGTGTAACTCGTTAGCCGATCGCCCACCACCTGCTCGACCAATTGCCCAAGTCAGATAAACAAGAACGGCGTCTCTTCCTTCACGAAATAGAACGGGGGGAAAGGAAGAAGAAAGTCATACCTGAAGAGGGTTGGGATCTTTTGGACGGGAAGGGATCATAAGGGCTGATCTTGTTGCTGATGGAAGTCTTGGGCCAGATGTCAGCGGCAGTGGCGCTGCGGTTGCGGGGAATGAAGTCGGCGATAATCGCTCCGCCGCACATCTTCTTTGCTGGGGAGAAAAAGGGGATTTGAGAAGAAGCTTTTGTTCCTTCCGGAAAGACAAAAATTTGGACTGCAGGGCAAGAAAACGGGAAGTTGGGGTTGGAGAGTGGTTTTAGGAAGGCGATGTTCAGGAAGTGATTGAGGAAGAGAGATGGAAGGGGTTTATGTAGGCAGGAGGGAAAAGTGAAAAGGAGAGGGATCTATGGGCCGCACATCACTTTCTGGTTTAGAACCAACTTGGTATCGGTAACTTCTAGATGAAATGGAAGGAGCTGCGTAGAAGGCTGTATGGCGCATTACTCATCGGATACCTGCTAGAGTTGTTAATAAACCATTATCTTCATGGATGATTTGGCGTCTGACTTGAGAAAAACTCATTAGTCTTATTCCAATAGGTCGAGGGATCACTTCCTGCGGGTCGTGAAACATTTTGATCGTGTCTCTTTTCACTGGCTCCCTGATGGAGAGGGTCACCGTCTCTCTACTCATGAGATGCTCCTCTTTCGCTCTATCAGAAAAGGGCTTCTAGCTTCACTTAGGATGGCTCGTAGCGGAGATGTTCGCCAAACTGCATCAAAGAAGAAACCGAGCCAGATACCAGGCCGCGACTATATCTTCACCATAGCCCAGTTTCTCAACAGCCACCGAGATCATACTCTGGCTATTCCTGACGTGTGAGAGCAGATTGAGGAGCGCATTCGCAACCCTCGTATTAGAGCGAACAGAGTTGGGGTCACCTACTTCACTGGTTCTGGGGTGGACTTGCTATGCAGTGACTCGTCCTTCACCGACCGGGTCAAGGATAAGAGGCCCCGTATTGAGCTGGTTACTCGTCCTTGTCCTTTACCGCCTGCCCATCGAGGAGGGGCACTATGAGTTGATGGTGCTTCCTCTTCAGCAGCTCCTCCTCCCATTCTCAAGAGCCTTGATATCCGGATGACAGTGCCAGCATCCTGATGCAGCTTCACGATGTCTTGGCACAGACTAGCCGGCAGGTACAAAGCTCTCGTGATTACATGGAGGAGCGGGAGTTCACTTCGCTCCATTCGTGTGTTGATACCAACACTTAGATGTTGTGGCAGCAATGGATCCCTCGCTTCACCACTTGGGATCCCTTCTTTAGCACTCAGCAGCAAGCGACCCCACCTTCTGCTCAGGATCCGAGTGACTAGTACTTCGACGCAGATGATGCCTCCAGTCAAGGTTGATTTTGTTGAGTTTTGGTGATGTAACTTATGTTTGTGTATGAGGAGTGGTTGCACTTGCACCCTCTGTTTTCATTTGTTTTTTCTTTGAAAGGTAAATGTCGAACAAGGAACCATATGCCTGTACGAACTTGATTTGCATTACGAGTGGTAACTTCGTTCTTCTTTTTCTCTCTACTCCTTACTTGATCCAATGACGACATTGTCCCATTTAAAGTGTGTGGTAAGATTTAGTTAGATTGTTCTTCATATTGTGAATGGTCATGCAATTGGAGAAATGGTTTTGTGTGTGCATTTATGCGACTTGGATTCTATCTTAAAAATGTATAAATTGGTGCTTTCTACCATCCTTTTCGAGTTCTCAAACTCCTACTCAAAGGAAGGAGTTTTCCGCACTTAAAGATAAAATCAGGTAGATATGTAGTTTCGTACATTTGAAATCCTACCACGTCAAGTCTAAATCAAAAGACGTTGCCATTGCAAATAAAGTATGGGTTAAAAGCAAAGTGTGAGGCATCCTATCCTTGGAAAAATTGAGTTTTGTAAGAGATACTAGTTGAGCCTTGGTGGGGTAGTTCTACGAAGATGATGCTAGTTCCTCTCTTGTACAAGTAAAATTGCCACCCGTATGATAGGATTGCCAACTTGAGGATGTGTTTTCAAGGGTACGGATAAAACTTCGACATCCCTTGGCTTCATTGACCCTCCGCACTTGTAGTCCTTAAAAAGTTATGCGGAATAATTTTTTTAATGATGTTCGAGATACGGAGCACAAAGTTATGGTCGTTCAAAGTGCGAAATTGAAAAATTGCTCGTTCGGGGTAGCAAACAACGTTTTTTTCGGGATGAAGGTGAGACCAATGACGATTTGCGGCTTGCAAAATCTTGAAAAATTATGCGAAATAAATTTACTTTTGTTATGAACGGATAACCGAACACAAAGTTACGTTCGTTTGAAGTTTCAACCCACGTTAGGCATTCATCGAAAAAAAATTATAGAGCAGATCGTGGGTGGGTGCGAGCGACGGTTTGACCCGGATCGTTGAGGTGTCGCACGGTCAATCTGGCCGCAGACACCCCACGTGGTCTGGAGGCGACATGAATGGAAACCGCAACACCCCCCTACGATCCTCGTTTAAATCGCCATGGGCGGATATGGTCCTTGTGATATAGTGGTATGGATGGAAAATATTGGGAAAGGATGGTATTTTTTACCATTGAAATAACAATGAAATACCACATGAACAATTAATGAGTTACTTGACTATACAAAAGCTACATTGACAATTAATCCATCAAAATGACCCTTAATCATCTGTCATTTCCAGTATCTCCCAATGTGAATGGGTATTATACAACTCTCTAAGTGGTTAAGATGATTGAAAATATATGCTCTAATTTCTTGTGGAGTTCCACATAGGAAGGGAAGAAAGCCAAGGTGATGTGAAGATATGTGGCAATGTAAAAAAAAAAAAAAGTTGGAACACTGTTTGTCTCATTAGACATCTCTGGACTATCCTCTCAAACTCCTCTCTTTGGGCCTGCTGGCTGCTGGATAAGGGGAAAGTTAATCTGCTAACTTGAAGATTCGTTAGCAGATACTAACTGATATCCAAATTACATGAACTAATATCCAAGTACTAAAGTATCTAGAGAGCACAGACTAGTATTCAAAATTTGCTAACTGATATCCACCATGAATCAACTATTATCACAAATTCACAAACTAATATCTAGACAACACAGAATAGTATCCAAACAGCACATAATTAGTATAGATAGATTCTTCATATAACTAGTCTGGTGGATATTTCTTCATATATACTTCTCTTTGGGATGTTTCTTCATATAACTAATTGTGAATACAAAAATAAAACAAATAACTAATTATGAAGACAAAAATACTTTTTTTATTTTCACTCTGATTGCTTGAAATTTAAAATGTAAAATATTCGACCCATAAATCTGTTTTTTATATAGTATAGATAGATTATAGATTGTCATTCTTGTATTGTTAATCAAAAATCAAAATGAGAGTTACCTTTTTGGCGTATTAAAAATCCCTCAGCAGAACAAGAGAAAGGGCATGACGTTTTGGACGGGACTAGATACTATAACAACACTCCTTGTGTTGTTATTGTAACAACACTAGTCTCCAACCAATAGGAAGCTAGGGTTGTGATGACTTTTTATTAGATGAGTTGACCTAGTGTAAAATCAAAGCAGGGGTATAATTGTCATTATGAAAATATGTTTAAATAATAAAAAAATAAAAAAAATTAAAAAAATAATTTTTTTTATTTTTTCGGCCCGAAATTTTGGTCGCCAGGATTCTGTCACCGGTCGCCGGAAAATGGTCGTTGGTCACCGGAATATGCTTTTCGTCGCCGGAATATGCTATTTTGTCATCGGAATATACCACCGTGGTCGGAATATGCTCACCGTGGTCGGAATATGCTTACCGGCGTCGGAATCTAGTCATCGGGGCCGGAATATGCCTATCGGCGCCGGAATCTGGTAATTGACGGTCATCGGAGTTTGGTCAACGATTTTCGTTGACCGGTCAACGGTCTTCGCTGACCGGTCAACGGCCAACGACCACCGGATATAATGGTCTGCATTGTGAGATTTATGGTTTGGTTTCTCATATTTTTGTATGCCTTTTGTGGTTTGCTTTATCGTGTTTTTGGTTTGCATTAAGAAGTTTCTGGTTTGCTTTATCGTGTTTGTGGTTTGCATTGTTAAGTTTCTGGTTTGTTTTCAAAAAATTTGTGGTTTGCATTGAGGATTTTCTGGTTTGTTTTAATATATTTGTGATTTGCATTAGGACGATTCTGGTTTGCTTTATCGTGTTTCTGGTTTGCTTTATCGTGTTTCTCGTTTGCATTAAGAAGTTTTTGGTGTGCTTTCGAAACTTTTGTGGTTTGCTTTGCGAGGTTTCTGGTTTGCTTTAATATATTTGTGGTCTGCATTACGACGTTTTTTGTTTGTTTTACCGTGTTTGTGTTTTGCTTTACCGTGTTTGTGGTTTGTATTAGGGGGTTTCTGGTGTGCTTTTCAAGATATTTATGGTTTGTTTTGTGGGGTTTCTGATATGTTTTAGCGAATTTGTGGTTTGCATTAGGAGATTTACGATATGTTTTTTATGGGTTGTTTTATTGCGTTTGTGATTTGCACTAGGGAATTTTTGGTGTTAGAAATATTTGCTTTCCTACTGCTAGCCCCTTTGCTTATGTACTCGAAAGGTAAAGACTATCAAAGCTGCAGCAGCCATTACAGGACTGTTCCAAGTCAGGCTCTCCAGGACTGTTCCAAGTCAACTGGTTAATTTTCCAGGGAGGGATTTCATCCGAGAGGGAGATTGATTCAATATTATTCAACAAGAATCCTGCAATTGTTCCCGTAGTTAGCAAAATCCAATACTAGCTAGACAGGGGGAATCATAATGGTTTTAATTTACTAATAACTAGTTTTTTTTTATAAATAAACTAATAACTAGTTATTGTAACAAGATGCCTCTGTGTGCTCACTCTCTTCTGTCAAAATTCTCCATCTCCTCCCCAGAAATTCCCATACATACATACCTGCAGTGAGGGCATATATATTAACATATGGCGATGAACTTGAACCACCCTTTACCAACTTGCGATGATGATCTCCAACACGGCTGTCGAGTGAAACGCAGCCAGATCTGAAATCATTGCTAGGGTTTTCGACACTACTGTGAAGAAAGGAAGGAAGGAAAGAAACGACCAGTGGAGGAAAAAGGAAGGCTCCAAACCAAAAGAGAATTGGGCCGTTTGTGGGAATCGCTATTCTCGGCACGTTAATTGCCGCTCTTTTCTTCAATTCCCCGCTGCAACTCAATCTCGGTTCCACTTTCTCCTCCTTCAACTTCAATTCGCTTCTGCAGCGACACCAGGTAGCTTCCCGCCACCATCGCCATTTTTTCTTCTTCATTTCCTCCCGTTCCTCAACTTCCGTTTCTGTTTGACTTGGCGGTTTAATTTTGCTGTTGCCAATTCGCCAGAGACTCTTCAGTGCAGAGGCGCTTGCTCTGTACAACGGGACCGACGAATCATTGCTTCTCTTTCGCCTTCAAAGACTGGCGACGCCGGTGAGGAAAATAACGCCGCCGTCGTGTAGCGCCAGGCCTTCCACGTTCAGCGTCGCCGTCGCGATCCACGAGCGATGTGCTTGTTGTTCCTGCGAGCGACGTGGAGTGGTCAGAAGGTTCAGATTGGGCGGCGCGGCGTCGGGGGAGTATGGGAGGAGGAGCGATATACACGAGGAAGGAAATAAGCTGAATATTAATTTTTTTATTTGTTAGATATTATGTTAATGGACCTTTTTACCCTTGTTGTTACTATAACAACACCAAGGGTGTTGTTATACTATCCGGTCCCGTTTTGGACTGTCCGGTCTTCGTTTCCAGGCTGTACTATTACGGTGTCGTATTACTGAGCTGAAGCCTGAAAAAGGGAAGAGACGCGGAAAGGGGAAAATAGCTTCGGAAACAAATTGGCGTTTCTCAGCCGCCTTCTGACTTCTCCGTCGTCACTCTCTCTCTCTCTCTCGCTCAAGGAATCGAGTCGACCAAGATGGTAGCTTCCGCGATCTAATCGCTTCCCATTATCCGAGCACCGTCGAGGAATCCACCGCCACTCGTTCCTCCTGCTCCCTCCTTCCGGCCGGTGAGTTCACTTACTATTCTTCTTCGTCTTTATCTCTAGGGCAGATCTATTTGCTATTTCATTTTCCCGATTTTTGAATCTGCAACTGCGAGCCTTGATTGGAAATTGATTGAAACCCATTGTCTGAAGATAGTTGATTTTGTTCTGGGTTCTTGCAATCTTTCGAAATCATTCATCCTCCAGTCCTTCATTCTATTCTTTCTTGGATTGCTTTTGTTTTCGATAGTCTACTTCCGCTTTCCTATTTCAGACACCGATTAATTTCGACTTTTTTCTTGCATGTTTACTTTTCTTGAACCGAGAAGGACTTCTAGATACTCTTGCTTCCAGAACTAATAGCTGTTGCTTCTAAGCTAAGACTGAGCCGGTTGGAATGGGTGATAACAACGATGATCAGTCCTCGCCCAAGGAGGAAAACCCAGCTCATGATTCCGAGACTCCTAACCCTGGTGAATCTCAAGAGGATAACTCACTGGAAACCATAGTTCGTAAATTTCAGGACTCGATGTCTGTAGGCAAGCAGCACAAGTTTTGGGAAACCCAACCCGTGGGTCAATTCAAGGATGTTGGGGCGACGAATTTGCCTGAGGGACCTATTGAGCCTGCAACTCCTTTGTCGGAGGTCAAACAAGAGCCTTACAATCTGCCTGCACAGTACGAATGGACTACCTGTGACATGGAGTCTGATGAGACCTGTAATGAGGTCTATGCTCTGTTGAAAAACAACTATGTTGAGGATGATGAGAACATGTTTCGGTTCAATTACTCCAAGGAGTTCCTCAGCTGGGCATTGCGCCCTCCTGGCTACTACAAGAGCTGGCACATTGGTGTACGTGCTAAAACTTCCAAAAAGCTTGTTGCCTTCATCACGGGTATCCCAGCAAGAATCAGGGTGCGTGGTGAAGTGGTGAAGATGGCTGAGGTCAACTTCCTGTGTGTTCATAAGAAACTTAGGTCAAAGAGGCTTGCTCCGGTCATGATCAGAGAGGTTACTAGGAGGGTTCATTTGGAGAACATTTGGCAAGCAGCTTATACAGCTGGAGTGGTTCTTCCTACACCAGTAACTACTGCTCAGTATTGGCACAGGTCCTTGAACCCCAAGAAGCTCATTGATGTCGGCTTCTCCAGGCTTGGTGCAAGGATGACAATGAGCAGGACGATAAAGCTTTACAAGTTGCCAGATTCACCTGCTACTCCTGGATTCAGAAAAATGGAGCTCCGTGATGTGCCAGCTGTCACTCGGTTGCTTAGGAACTACTTGGCTCAGTTTGTTGTTGCACCTTATTTTGATGAGGATGATGTTGAGCATTGGCTCCGCCCGGTCGAGAATGTCATTGATAGTTTTGTGGTTGAGAGCCCAGAGACCCATGAGATCACAGACTTTTGCAGCTTTTACACCCTACCATCCTCTATCCTTGGCAACCAGAACTACTCCACCTTGAAAGCTGCTTATTCATATTACAATGTCTCCACCAAGACTCCATTGCTGCAGTTGATGAATGATGCGCTGACCGTAGCCAAGCAGAAGGATTTTGACGTGTTCAATGCCTTGGATGTCATGTTCAACGAGTCTTTTGTGAAGGAGCTGAAATTCGGGCCAGGTGATGGGCAGCTTCACTATTACCTTTATAACTACCGTTTGCAGCAAGCACTTAGACCATCTGAACTTGGTCTTGTTCTCTTGTAGTCAAAGGTTGATGCAGGGGATCCAATATGAAATTTTCCTTTACCATTAGATTGTTACCCCAGAACAATTTTTGTTACTCCTGCCTTCAAGTTTTAGCTGGTTGTTAGTCGCCCAAAAAAGTTCACACAATGTTGCTTGTTGGTGATTTGGATGTTGATGTGGGTGACGAATGACATTTTGAGTTCCGATGAATCTATCGATGCGAGTTCTGTAATTTTCCAGGTCGTTCGTCTGGTTGGTGCTGCAGTGCAGGCCTTGAGGGCCGTTGTTTGTTTGGTGTACAATTTGGTGGCCAGACCCCTAATTTCTTTAATTGGTAGTGTGGTTCCCTTTGTTGCAAGAGCTTCATATTAAGGTTTGTCCAACTTAAGTTTGGTTTTCAAAAGAAGGCTCTGATATTTTGTATTAATATTTGAACGATTTAGATGTATGCCGCTGTATGTTGATACTAAACAGTTCAAGACAACTAGATTGAGATATTTTGAATGACGAGAATGCTATGGTTGATTGGGCTGCCTTCACAACGTAATTAGGAATTCGATACCTGTCGAGAGAACGGTGCAAACTATCGATTGATGATTGCTACCCAAATATTGAAGGGAGATTCATTATCCTCCCGAATCCTTTGTAAACTGTCGTTAGGGGAAATCCAGATCAAAATGTAATGGTCACCTAAATCCTTATCAATTTGGCTCATTCATTCAGAGCCTCGTTGCTCTGGAACACTGCATGGTTAGGAGAAAGGGCAACAATCCAAATAGCTATGCAAGAGCAAGAAAGAGTCTGCTGTATTTTATTACTTTTGCTGATACTACAATGAATACTTGAACGAAAATCAGCAGCTAGTGCTGCATATTTATAATGCAAACCCCGGGAACCAAGCTACCTATCCGTACTACATAACCAAACTACAAATCGAAGTGCTTGGCCTGGTTCTAGGAATGAGGTAAGCCACTGAACTGAACATTACATCTAATAAACCAGAGACTTATTTTTTTTGAAAGGGATAAACCAGAGACTCAAGTTGATATAACAATAAACAAAACAAGCCTCATGGCATTACTGCTTCCAACGTGAGAACTAACAGAGCAAAAACTCTTCCTCTGCGATCAATGTGCTGATTGAAACGAACATCATTCGTTGCCAACAGGTGCGCCCTTCATCATTCCTTGCCACGACCATGCATTTGCAGAAGAGAATCCACTCCACAGTCTGGCAGCTGCAAAATCATGACAGGAGCAACAAAGTTAACAAATACTTGCCCTGAAAACCCTAGAACACTTCTCTAGTTTCATTTTTTAGATCATAGATAGGTAAACTAGCTAAGTGAACCAAAGAAATCAAAGAGTAGATCTGTTCTTCCCTTCAGTCATGTACCAGGCAGAGCTCCCCCACAACGGATGACTAGTAGCTATGCTTTTAGAAGACCTGGGTTGAGACTTTAGAGGTGCACAAGCATGCACCTAGAGAGGCAAGCACATGTTGAGACGTTAGAAGACCTGAGTAGCAGCAGCAGCAGTAGTAGTACTACTTAATTTCACCAAAGCAAGTTTATAACTAAATACCAACACTGCATCATCAAATTATAGACCGAGTGAGTGAGTAATTAAGCATGTATATATATACTTCCCTTCCCTTTAGTATACGGCATACTGCCCACCTGCCTCAATCACACAACCACACCGTTAGCTACATTTTTAATCAGCTAGTCATCGCATTGACATGAGAATCTTAATCATTCTCTCCCTTTTTGCCAGCTTCTTGTTCAGGCTACGGGTGTGCTTCGCCCTCCGAAGTTCCTCGGTGATAAATTTATCAACTTTCCTAATCCAGTCGATAAATCTCTTCCCCCTTGGCAATAAGCACCCTGACCCTGGAAATGGCTGATTTGCAGAAGTATCATCATGCAGCATTTGGGTCACTTTGCCAAGCTGATCACTGGAATCATCAGAGAAGCGGCTGATTTCGACAGCAGCTGGTTGTTGCGGTAGTGATGCAGGGGAGTCCGAGAATTTAAGCTTTCTCCTGGTTCCCCCAACGCCTCCTAGCACCAGTTCTCTCCTTCTCCTTTTAGCATCATGTGTCAAGAAGAACTCCCCCTGCCAAACCCAAACGAAAAAGAAAAAGAAAAAAAAAACACCGTCAAGACAGACAAATTAAGCTCCCAGCCCCAATTAATCGGGCGAACCAGTAAACAAAATTTAGGGTTTCTTCGTAAGAAATTAGTTAGGGTTTCCGCAATGTCCCCCGACCCATTTCGGCATCGCGTTCTCAGAGTTCGTAAATCGGAGACGGAGAATCTCAAAACCAGCCGAAATTCGGAGGAAAGAAAAAGCGAGGGAAACGGGGGCTTACCTGGAGCGAGGAGGTTGAGGGCGAACCGTGACGATCGTGAAAAAAAGGTGGAGAAGAAGGCGACCGGTGATCAGCTTCCGATGTGTGGTTCAGATTCCCCGGCCCGGGAGTCTCGAGCAGGGAGCCGTTGTCGGAGTTCGACGATGGCATGCTTCCGACGAGAGAACTGAGAGAGGCTGAGCGAGAAGGGAAATTAACGGGAAGGAAGACGCGAAGGAAAAAGAAAAGAGGCGGCAGTTGATGAAATCCCCGCGCTTCCTTCCTTTTTATTGACGATTTCCCAAACGGTCACTTTCTATGAATTTAGGGCGCGAGAGTAAAAAAAGCGCGCCTGTAATAACCGTCCAGCTTTCTTGACGGCGACACTATCCGATCTATTTACGGGTGAAGTTAGAGTACTAACTTGTAACTTCATATTAGTTAGCATCGTACTAACTATTCTAAACACTGTCATTTTTTTTTTTATGGAACCGTCCATTATTTTAAGTTGAATATGATGGTGCTTAATAATGAAGGACATCTTTGGTATTTCACTAAATTAAAAATAATATATAAATAAAAATATTAAATCTCTTTTTATCTCTCCTCTATTTATTAGTCAGTTTCTACCGAAAAATTACTAACAAATTTATTACTATTTAAATCAATAATTGGTTTGACCGATAGTATTGATTTTAGGATAATAACCGTGATTGTAAACTTTTTAATTAATAGGCACGATTTTTTTCGGAGGCTGATAGTAGTGTTTTTGGGAGTCATAGTGATTTTCATGTAACTAGTAGCGTTTTAGTTTTTTTTTCAATTTGTAGAAAACAACAATTTTTAATAAGAATCACTAACACACATTATAAAACATACTACGAACATGAAAGATGACTACCACAAAAACCAGTAAACCACTACTATACTATACATGAAAAAAATCCTAATACTAAACAAAAACCAGTAAACCACTACTATTAAAATCTATACTTGACTTCCCATTCCTTCCTCTCTTTCTCGTCCATTGGCATATATCTTCCCAAATCAAACGTAAACCTACAATCACCATACAAAATCACTACCGTAAACTACATTGACGGTGGGAGGAAGACATGAGGAGGAGGGAGGGAGGCGACGAAAAGGGTTATGAGCGGTTGAGTAGATGATTGGGAATCTGGATCTGTAGCATAGAGGAGAGGCACAAAGCCTAGAACTAGTGTCGGCTCAAGGGTTATACCAATCCATCATTCCCTCTGTAGTACATTTTTGCCTTTCACAGTGGTCTTGGCGGTGACCTCAATACCGACGATTGATAGAGAGAGCCGACGAATCATGGGTGGACTCCTCCATCGTCATCGTCGGCGTCTACCTCCCCTATCGGCATCTCCTGATACCCTTCTTTCCCGTCGCCGCCTGCCTCCATCGCATATCTATTTGAGCACCCCTTCCTTCCAGTCGTCGAACCGTACACAGAGATGGATAAGAGGGGAGAGAGGAGAGACAGTTGGTGTAGAAAGAGGGGAAAATGGAAAGGCGGTCGTGGATGAGAGGGATAGTGGATTGAACCTTTTTATATTAGGTTTTGAAAAAACATTACTAAAATATCTTTAACTTAATTCTAACCTTAGGATCAACATCTTAATCTAATGGCTATTATACAGGTTAGGATGGTGCTAACCCCTTAAGGGGTTAGCAACGCAGCCCATCCATCTATCTACATTACATAAGAGCTTTGACTCACCCGGTTAGTAGGTTGGGTGAATTGATTGGTTGAGTAATTTGGTGTTTATTAGTTTAAGACTTGAGAATATTTTTATTTTATTAATATGAGATAATTTATTCTAAGAGCATCTCCATCGACTCTATTTGCCCAATTGCAAGGTTTGCAATGGCAAACTTAATTTCATTGATGTGGGCAGTGATGTAACTGATGCAATATGAAGGAAAAAATCCCACTGTACACACTGCCAACATGGATCGATGGTGGGTCAGATCCGATTTTTTTGTCATTTAAATAAATTCAAATATATTTTAAATGGATTATATTTTTATATGCAATTGCAAATGAATTGCATTGATATAGGACAATGAAATTTAAATGAGTTGGATTGCAAAATTTGATGAGGTGTCTATAAAACTACATATGCAATTGCATTGATGTGGATGCTCTAACAAACTCAATCATCCAACAATGTGCAACCGGTGAATGAAGAATGTGTAGAAGATACCATCGAAGGTGGTCTAAAGTGGAGGATGATTAGGGATTTAAGGGGATGTTTGTTTTATTGAATTTGATTTGATTAATGAAGAATAATTTTAGATTTTATGTTAGAATAATAATAGTAAAACTAAAGTGATTTTTATCTATAAATTATTTTTAAAGGTTATCAAGTTGGATTAGATGGTTTGGATCGAAGATGAATGGAAGTGATAGTTTTTTTCTTTAATTTTTTCATTTTATTTAGGTTTAATACACTTGTATATCTAAAACTTTCATGGTTGTGCCAATAATATCCAAATTTCCCGAAATACCACTTATATCCAATTCCTTCACATTCTTTAAAGGTGTTTTTGGATATACAAGTGTATTTAACCAAAAATATATTGGGAAATGGATAGATTTGGCAAAGAACAACTTTAAAACATGGATATAAGTGGTATTTCGGGAAATTTGGATATTATTGGCACAACCGTGAAAGTTTTGGATATCCAAGTGTATTTAACCTTTTATTTACAAGGATACCATATTTGATGAATAACTTAATGTCTTCGCTCAAGGCAACTGAACAACATTATGTCCATCTCTGGTGCGTTTTTGTATTAAAAAGTTGAAGTCGATCAAACACTTCTTCAGGTTAAAAATTCGACTTTTGGAAAAGATGAAATGTACGGAGCTCTCAACCGAGTTGTTTAGGTTATGAAATTCCATATAAATACAAGCTTCAGTTGGAGCTTAATGCGAAAATCTATATTGAAAATACATGATTACAAGGATAATTTCTTTATTTTTTTCAAAAAATATACTCTTCTTTCATTTATATAATTTTAAAACTAAAATAAACTATATATAATATTATTTTATATAAAAGAAATCCAACAAAATCCATTTTGATTTTTTTTTCTTTTTATTCATACTTTTTATTAGAAATTCTTTTTTATAATTTTACATGACCCCTCATTAAAAAATATGTATATTGAGTCAAACTAGCACTATATACTCGCTCGCATATTGCAAACCTTCCTCATATAACCTTAATTTCTCAAAAACCGTCAACTTTCTAAACAAAGGTCTTTGAGTCATTATTTATACTAAAGGTTGAAATTCTCGACACTCCATCTTTGTACATCACATCAAATAAGTTTGTTTCTTCGCCCTTTCGAAGACTACTCCAAATTCCTCAAGTCTGGTGCCACAAGGCATCTATTTGTTGAAGGATTTGTTTCTTTTGTATCACAGTTCACCAATTCATTTAGTTTAATGGGTTATCCAATTACAATGAGTTGATCCAAATATATGAGAGCACGTCTTTGTAGAACCAGAAGGCCTCATATGGATCATGGATGAAGTCTCGATTCTCAAAGGAATGCCCATGCAAACATTAGATACTTGCTCAATTCATTAATCCATTTTAAAGTTTATCATATAAATTGAATATTAGTAATACATAAGACATATATGTTGCTTGTCATGTATGTTTTTCTTTATATTGGTCTATAAGTTATAACCATAATCCCTCATTATGTATGTTATATAACATACATTTGTTGTGGGTTTCATGTTTCTAATTCTTACGTAAGCCAAAATATTAAATGATAAAATTATACCTTACAACGTAATTATGCGTTGCAACTTACTATAACATAGCTATGCATAACAATTCACTGAATTTTTGGTTGTCGATCTCACATGTTAGAGCACATATAAATTCCTATATTGAATTATGTCCATCATTATTGTAATACCTAGTCTATGAGAAAACATGCATGACAAATAGGCTTAGGAAACAATGAAATGTGGCATGTGTATTGAAATAAGTAGTTACTTGTGGATAAGGAGGAAAGTATGTGTTTCTTATCTATGCTAGATCATTGAGACATTTTTTTTCTAGAAGTAACCACCTTGATGAGTTTAAAAAACAACACATATGGAGGCATATTTTAGAGAAATCTCCCAACGTTTCCCCCATTATTTCTTTGATTTAAAGTGTGCAATTGCTCCTATTCAACATGGTATAAGGCAAAAAAAGGAGCAATATAGTGTTAGAATAAATTTAGTGAGTCAATTAATAAGTTAGTAATGTGTTTTAATGAGGGGACAATTTCGTTTGTAGTCAGTGTAGTTACTAGTGCAGGTTAAGTAGGGACAATGTTGTTTTATCGAGAAGGGTCATTTAGATCAATTTTAGTTCTTGGCAGGTAGAGTTGTGTTGCTCAGCCAGAACTTGGTAGAGACTACGTTAGTGGGCAGCTGGTTTTAAGGACGTCCTTATGTGAGTGGAAGCTAGTTTTTAGCTCGTAATTGGTAGATGAATAATGTTGTTAACATTTTTCCTTTCAAAATCAATGAATTGTTAGTTTTCCCAACATGTTTGAACATGTGGTATCAGAGCCTATTGCAAATTGTAATCAAGTATATTGAATAGCAATTGAGTGTTTGAGTTTGTGAGTTTCAAATTGGGTTATGAGTAATAAGAAAACTTGGTGAGGTGGTTTGTCATCGGTGTACGAAACATAAGAGGTAGTGATATGATACATGTTTGCGAGGGAGTAGTGATCATGAGTGGTTCAAGCTATGCACAAGTGAGCACTCCTAAGTTTGATGGAGATGTTGATTACTGGAGTCCCCTTTTTGAAAATCAATTGCGTTTAAAGAAATATTGGATAGTTTTTTGTGAAGGAATTAAGGAGCCAAAGGTTGGATTTAAGCTATATGTTGTCGAGAAAAAGGATTTTGAGAAATCAAGACTGAAGTTGGATAAAGAATGATACAGTTATAGGCATCATAGCAAAAGTAGTGAAGTTGGTTGCCTTTGAGCTTGAGAGATTGCTTGATAAGATGGGAGTCTACAAATTTTAAGAACGAGTCATTTTTCGAAATCGTGCTTGAACAGCTATACTACAAGAGGGAAGTTGCTTCTAGAGGAAGTACACTGGAAAGTGCTGCTTTGGAAATTGAAAGTTGCCACCAAAGAAAATTGTAATGTACTAATGTTAACACGTTTCAATATTAGGGGAGGATTTTTTAGAATAAAAGTAGCCAGTCAATTAACAAGTTGTTAGCTCATGATGAAGATGAACGGTAAGGTGCAAGATGTTCATCAAAACATACCCACTTTCACATGTGTTAGGCGCTAGGCTCATGAATACAAAGTAGAGGTGCTA